CGCCCTCTCCCTCGCATCTGGGCATTGCCTCCCCACTCACATCTCCCCCCTTTCCCCCCGTTTCTTCCCCCTCCCTTGGCCTTGGGCGGACATCGAAAAAGAGCTGCATGGAGGTCAGCAGCACCATCTCCAGCTCGTCTCCGCTGTCGCCGATGCGCGCGGACTTTATCATCCTCGGCAAGGTGCTTGGCCGGTTCTCCGCCCACATGACCGAGATCAACCGCTTCACCAAGCGCACATTGCTGGACCCGACGGTGCAGAACCACAAGGCGCACGATCTGTCCAGCCTCAACCAGGTCATCATCGATCTGGTCAATGCCCGCGATGCGTACACGGATTCGGTCACGCGCATGTTCGCCACCAAGAACAAGCACCGGCCGGAGGTCAGTCGCATCCAGCAGTTGCAAATCGAGACCACCGCATCGCAGGCCCGCCTGGACAAGATGCTGATCCAGTGTTGCCAGATGCTGTGCGATCCGGCGGTCGAGACGCCGGACGCCTTCCGCAGCCGGCTGCGTGCTCTCTCCTCGCCTGCCGGGGCATCTAGCGGCTCTGGGGCCGAGAGCCCCGCCGCATTACTGCCACACGCGCTCAACATCGGGGACTTCTCCTCCTCCCTGCAGGAGGTGGCCCGGCGCCTGAATGATGACATTTCCAATATCTACCGCCAGGCGGATGTGGCCCTGCCCCAGCTGCCGGGCAGTGTCGCCTCGGCGGCCGGCCTCGCGACTTCGGGCTCGGCTTCGGCCACCACCACCCCCACACGCAGCGTGTCCGAGACCGGGTTCGACTCGCACCCGGCCGCCGCGCGGGCTGGCGATCACCAGACGGTCGGCGGCGCTTCTGGTCCCGGAATGGCCGCCATGCGCGCATCCATCGCCGTTCCCAGCTCCATCGATCACCACCACCCTCCGGGGTCGGCAGCCGCGGCGCTCTCTTCCTCGCGCTCGGCCAATGACTTGGCCCTCCTGGCGGCGGATGGCATCAACCCTTCGCCGCAGTCGGCCTCTTCGCCGAACCCCTCGCGGCCGCACTCGCCCGCTTCCGGCGGGGTGTTTGGCTCGCTCAATCAGCTGGGCGCTGCGCTTGATGATGGCGCGGCACTGGCGGTCGCATCCATGTCCCGGTCGCCGACCTCCGATTCTCTGGGTCCGGTCGGTCTGCCAGCCCTGACCAAGGAGGAGCTCGACGCCGCCAAGACATATACGCACTTTGTCGATGTATGTGTGGCCCGTCCTTTTCCGTCTCCCTTCCTCCCTCCCTCCCTGCTCCTTTCTCCATCTCTCTCTCTCTCTCCGCCTCTGCCTTTGTCTCTCTCCAGCATCATGAGCTCCTAACTCGAATGTTTCCCGCTGCGTCTCCCCCCCCTGCCACCGCCACCGCCACCGCCACCACCCAGCTCCTCGCCAACCCCAACCTCTTGGCGGTCAGCTCGGTCCTCAACTCCCGCCACGAGGCCAACCCCACCGACATCCTGACTATGACGGTCCAGCTGCTCCATGAGCATGACCGCTTTGTCCCGCTCATGTACGACCTCATCCGCTCGGACGTCCTCAGCGGTCAGTCGCTGAGCCTGTCGCTCAACAGCGGCCTCTTTAGCAAGCATCCCCTCGGTCAGCAGATGCTCCAGCTGTTTATCCGCCAGTATGGCTCTCAGTGGCTGGCGCTGGCCTTCAATCCCATTATCTCACGTATTATGGCCTTCCCGCCCAACAGCCTGCAGGTACTTGGCAACATACCCCCATACATGCCTTCTCCGGTTTCTGCCTACAGTCCTTCGCCTCGGCCTTGACTCATGGCTGCACACACACACACACACGCACGCACGCACGCACGCACGCACTCTTACTGATTCTCTGCCCTTCTAATTGCGTGTCTTTCGGGTGCCAGCTTGACCCCGCCGCCGTCGGCCAGGAAGTTGCCCATAACAACTCCATGACCGTGTCCAATCTGGTTCGGGACATTGTCACTGCCCTGTCGGAGTCGGTGCAGTACTGCTCAATCCCCATCCGGCAGATTTGCCTCATCCTGTACAATGCCCATGCGGAGCAGCAGCACACGGCCATGTCGGCCGGCGGGGCCACCCCCCCGCAGTTCCAGCCGCTGGACTATGTGTACAGCCTGATGTGTCACTACTTCATCGGCCCGGCTCTGGCTGATCCGGTGGGCTATGGCCTGATCGACCCGAGTGTCACCCTCTCGCCGGACCTGACTCTTGGCATGGCTACCCTGTCGTACGTTGCTTCTGCTGCTGTTATTTGGCCATGTTTCATCTTGCGGATGCCCCCCCCTCTCCCCTCTTCCCCTCCCCCCGCTGCACACACACACACACACGCACGCACATGCCCACC